TTGATTTAGACAACTAAGGGCTAATTTTTCAATCCTCAGTTATACTGTCAGACAACTAACTTAGAATAAATTTATCTTGCTATTTATCAAGCGAATTAACTTTCTCTGTTTTTCAATCGGATGTAAACCTACAGATAGTTACTTGATGGTCTCTCATAGCTAAGTTCACTGTAAATATGCTCAAGGGAGATGCAGCTATACAGTCAGTAACACGTTAGATAAGGATCACAAGCTGCGAATATTAAACAACATTTATGTTTTTCTTTTCTTGTCAGAGCTTGTCTGTCCGATATAATAAGACAACCTTATAGACGATGATAGTGACGGTGGCGTAGTCGTTTGCGTAACGGTCTGTTACTCGAAAAGTCCGCTTCATTTGTATACATTTGCATTTAATTTTTGAATTTTATCTGTGTGTTTCTATGCATAATATGTGTGTATTAACATATTTTTTTCCCTAAAATAGTATATGTGTTTATGTCAGTTGTCTAGTAACCATAATACAACCTCAGACCTCTTAGTTTGGGACTAGATGGCTTTGTGTAAATGTGGTATAGAATATTATTTTTATAATTATTCGTGTAATCAATTAAGAAACGAACATTAAATTTCGAGAAATTTAATTTGCTAATAACTTGTCATAAAATTATTCATCATCACCCTAAATATTGTAATATCTTTCTCTAAAACCCTTTCTTTTCTCTTAGGAGTCAGGACACAGAAAATTTCAATAAGGGCAACGTATATAAATTTTACAACAACAAGTATTAGAGAATGTAAACAAATACACAAGACAAAATCACTTTTCATATCGGTAGAGAATCACGTGGTTCGAATACCGACGCAGACTAAGTTTCTAGTTTTTGATACTAAACAAAATAACTAGAAATTTCTTTCTTTGTAAGGTTTTCTAAATTAGGTATTTCTCAGTTTAAGACTAAGACCAAATTTGGCAAATTCCTTTTTTACTTTACTATCTCTTATACAAGGGCTTTTAATTGTATTTAATGAAGTGGTGTGATTTTTATTATAAATACATTTGCTTTTAAAAATTAATTAATATCTCTATTACAGACATCTGCATCCAGCGAAGTTGCAAAATCCTCCATTTTTATGTTCTCTTAGTAAGCACTTTGTGTTACACCTTTTATGTATACAAAGTTCCCTCAATGTTGGATACCGGATCGTACTCAGTTTCGTCAAAAAAGGCAATTCTGAAAAAAATGTGACAAAAATTAGTAGTTGTAAAAAAACCACAAGTCTTCCTAAAATTCATTACTGAAAATAGAAAAGAATAAATTAACACATAATAAAACAAAAAATAAGGGGGAGCTCATATTTCACTTGTTAATTTGTTATATATGAATAACAAGTTAAATAATAATAATAACTTGACACATCTCAACACACGGCTATCTGATCCATACCGAGCCAGGTTACACGACTGCTGATGAACATACTTATATACTTATAAATACATACATATTATAGATAAATTACACCCAGACACCTTATCCTGGGTGGGAATCAAACCCACGATTTTCGGCTTAGCAGTCAGGGTCACTACTCTCTAGACCAACAGACCAGTCAAATTAAGAAATAGTTGTACATTACAGCAAGTATGTGCTTATTTAAACATTCAGCTGCATGAAAATAAATATACTATATAATATCTGTTGAACGGGTTATCGTCTGCGATATGTCCGGACCGCTACGACCTTCAAACTTTCAAGAAAAGAGCGTACTCCTTTCTAAAAGGCCAGCAACGCGTTTGTGACTCCTGAGTTGCAGACGTTCATGGGCGGCGATGGTCACTTTTCATCAGGTGACCCGTCTGTTCGTCTGCCCTCTCTAACATAAAAAAATAAAATACTCACTCGGAAGAGACGGAAGATTGCTATCAAGAATGTTTTTTATAACATTTGTTTATACGTGTTTTCAAAATAATAGACCTGCCAATAGAATTTTACTTCACAAGATATGCACTGCTTATATAATAAATACATATGTGATCATAATGAGCGACTTAAGTTTTTATTTGTCTGAAACGGGGTCTAGTTATAACAACAATTTATGCTGCAAACCATACTTACATTATTAATGTGAAAGTAAGTTTGTTTGTTACGTTTTTGAGGCTAAACCACTGAACCGATTAAAAAAATCCTTTACCCATATAAACCTTTTTACCGCGATAACCGACATATATGCGGCATATTACATCCATGCAATCTTGATTAATTCTTGGAGTTACCTACTTCTACATTTTATTTAATTTCAGCAAAAACAAGTAGTATCTTGTATAAAAGTTTTATATCTTGTATAACAGATACGAGCAGACGGGTAAACCCCTTAGAGATTTCCTCTGTCCATAGGAATCTGCAACTCAATATTAGTAGGTGCAGGTAGTCTCTTGAGACACAAATGCGTTGCCTTTGAGTGTCCTTCAGAGTTAGGGACAGGGAGGGAGATAAGTCTTCTTCCGTAACCTCAATGACTTTGTGAAAGCAACGGAAGAATTGCTTACCTACGGTTTTCTGTGAGGCCTTGGTCGAACAATCTCAGCAACCATACTAATATTGTGAATGCGAAGGTTTGTCGGTCTGTCTATCTGTTATCTCTTCACGCTTTAGCCGCTGAACCGATTTAATTGAAATTTGGTTTAAAGATAGTTTGAGTCCCGTTAAAGGACATAGGATAGTTTTTATCCCAGAAATCATCCTTTAAGTGCGTGAAATGGGGGATAGAAGTTTGTATAGGGAATAAATAAGGGCTGAACCAATTCGGTTGAAAAAAAGTATAGATATAGTTTGATTCTTGATAAATGACATAGGCTACTTTTTAAAATGATTACGCGTGTATGTTTAAAGCTAGCAGTTCCATAAAATATATTGTGTTAAACTAAGAAAGAGCCTTAACTAGAAAATGTTTGAACCTGTTTAAGGATTTCTATAATGCTAATGATCTGTTCTATATTATTAGATCGTCATCTTGTTTTCTATAATATAAGAATTGTTTTACTTGTAATGTGAATTTACATTACATACATACATGTCTATGTCAGACAGTTTAACGTATATACACTGATTACAAATACAAACTATCAAACTAATATTAAGTTTCCTTGTTTTGATTACCTTTATTCATTTCTTCTTGTATGATAATAACTTTACGCTTTTGCCTTGTCATTGGATCTGAGCTGGATGTGCCTTCTTAAAAATACCAAAAATTAAACATGTATAAATTGTAATCGTGTAGAAATGAATCCGTGTGGTGACGGATTAAGAGTACAGAGTATCTCCACCCCATGGGAGTCGTAAGAGCCGACCAAAAGAGCAAACTAAGCAGGACAACGGCACTGCAAAGAGGAGGAATACTTGAAACGAACTCTACACATATATCAACTCGTCTGGTCATGGTATAGTAGGCCGAAACCTCTTTTCTAAGGAGATACCTATGTCGAGCACTGAACTATTTTTGGATGTTCATGATGATGATGATAATAAATCCATAGTCCTTTCTCGTTAAGGAAGTAGTGACGCATCATCAAGCATCGCCTCCTAAATAAACAGGTTTTATTCGTTATTATCCGTTGACATTAGCAACATCCTCATCTTGTAATTGTGTTTATTTTTAACTGCTTTTCATTCCACATTGAACTCCCAATTTCCAAACTCCAAATTTTCGTTACACATAATGAGACAATGATTGAATATATATCATATTAGGTTTTTAAATTATAAGCTTATTGGTAAGAAATTAAATTACTAAATACCTTCTGTTTGACTCGTAGTAGTTGTAGATATGACGACAAACAACATAAGGCCACAAACGAAAATAAAACAGGTCTTCATGTTGACGATCTTCTGTTGTGAACTAAAGGGCAGACTGCACTTGACTTAGCTCATTGCCGTAAGCATGTTGCTTATAAATCTAGTCTTCAAATATGTATATTGAACACATTATCATTAAGCCATTGTAAGAATCCTTTTGTGTTTATTCAACAAGAATTTATCAGTACGAAAAGAAAATCAACCGACTGACCTATGATGAAATAAAAATACTTTGAATTCCTTTGCATTGCATGAAATTGCATAAGTGTAGAGTCATTTACGGTATTTGAAATTGAAATAATTAGAATATAATATTATTCTAATAGTGTTATTACCAATACTTAATAATATTTAAAACGTAGAGGCCCATGAAAGCTCTAACATACAATGGACAATGACAGTCAAAGTCGCGGCCACTAGTTAATTGCAGAAAGATTGTGAAAGGACTCATCGTATTTGACAGAAATGGATATCAAAACAAGAGACTTACCTACTTCCTAATTACTACACATTTGAGACAAACAAATATTGCAATTGGAATAAAATTCATGGAATATAAATGTTTGTTACTTGATTTTATACTTTATTGGTAAGATATAAGACTTATGATTGTGACTATTTCTTACTATTCTTTGACCTTATCTTTTTTAAATTTTAGCATTGTAAATGATAATTATCATTGTGTGCTCTAGAATTACAATTTATGATATATTCTCATTTTACTTATTTGTTTAGTTTAGTTTCAGAATATTTAGGCTTTGCTTTCTCAGGATTTGGTATATAGCAGCCTGGTAGACTTCGTTCCGGTATAGTTGTAAACCTGGATATCTGTCTGTCTTACTGTAACTGTGGCTCTTTAGGGCTACGACGGAAGAGAACTATAGTCTGGTTTTTGCGGAAAATACAAGTAGTCACTTGATTACCAGTGAAAAATAGTCGTGCAGTTAAATCTAGATATAGATATTGAGAAGAGCGGTGATTTGCTCTCTTACAACTGGACGGTCCCAGAAATTTTAACCAGGACGCTATGTCGATATTCATTGGTTTCGTAAAACTTTGTAGAAGTTATATTTATTTAACTTTAAGAAAAAAAAACAAATAAACTAACAAATAAATAAACTGAACATACATTTATAAATATTTATTAAATATTATTAAATAAGTTTACAGTTATCCAACACAACTGCATCCGGTCAATACGCTACAGGTGCCCCCACTGTGCCCTCTCCTCCTGCAGCTCGCATTACACTCATAAAACACACAGGAAACCGGCCACTGCACGTGAATCGTGTCTCTCTTCTCCAGGAGGTGAGTAGATTCTGTAAATGCAGATATTAAACATTAATAATACGTAAATTTCTAAGACATTATGGATAGGCTCCTTTTGCATAGCTAGAATGCTTGTCAGCGGTCTGGTTCCTATGTAATAGGCTCAGCCTAGTTTGGAATTAAACGGCTGTGTGGAAAGGTGGCTCAAGTTATGACTATTAAAAATATGATTATCGCTATAATTTTCACAACTTTACATCATACTCACGATAAATTTTAGGTTTGATTAAGTTAAATTTAGTTCTATAAATGTAGTAGGACAAAGTAGATTTTTGTTTGAATTGGAGACTTAAGACGCCTCTAGGTCTTATCCCCTTTGTTGTCGTCGTGTATCTAGAGCCTAATTTCTTGGCGTATATTTATCAATATTTAAAAAAATATATTATAAAATATATCTAATAGAAAATAAGTCTATCTGATTTTCTCATAATCCTACAGTCGGCAGCCGGTCGGTATGTATAATATTGCAAAGAGTTTTGGCCGGTTTTGTCTGGGTTGGCTGACACCAACCCTTCTTGTGAATGTAGTCCTTCACAGACAGAACAGGAGAAAAAGGTAAATTGAAGATAGAGAAATTAGAAGGCCAAAGGAAACGATTAAAATAAAGATGGTATGACCGCCCTCTGAATGAAGAGTTCACTAACACGGAGATATCTTTAGAAGTGTGCTTAGTAAACTAGATATGTGGAATAAATAGTTAACGATAGTCATTGGTTGTTGGTGCTGAGTTTCCTTATTTGATTTCAAACCTTTCTCAATTAGCCTTACCATTCCTGCTGTGACTTCTAAATAAAAGGATCGATTTCACAGAAAAAGGTTACCATAAAATATTGCTTTATTTTAAAAGATCACTCCCTAACTAGGAATATATCGTCTGTCGCGGAGGACTTTGTAACAATTACGAAACGGACACAAAGAAATATCCAGGTCCAGAAAAACTATTTGTGGATCTCATAAATTGTTGTCCCATATGGGGATCGAACCCACAACACTCATCGCAGTTACCGCAGGAAGTGGCGAGGTTGCCGCTTAAACCGCTACGCCATTCGTGCTGTCTACTGGGTGCTAACATACCTATTTCTACACAGTAAATGATTTACTAACCTCACCATAGTATTAGTATCATATCATTAGTAACAAAATACAAAATTATTTCTGGCACAGAAATTTAACAAGTTATACATACAATATTGTTAAATTATAGTTAGTATTTACCTTCATCTCTAATATGTGCTTCCGAAGTAATGGCTGCGAAAGCCACGAGGAATACAGCGAACACGATACAAGCCCTCATGGTTGCAACTTTAAGAAATGTGCAGTAGAATGCTCAGCTTCATCACATTTATACTAACATCAGTACACACACTCTTTCCTTGAATCTACATCACAAACTCAATGTATTAGGTTATAAACTGGTTAAAAAAGCAAGTCCCCATTCATTGCTGCTCAGTATTTGCAAAGCGTAGTTGTACAAAACATCAAGGCAGCAGTGGAAATTACAAAACAGATATACTTAATTAATTGCCATACGCATTCGAGAACAGATAAATATTGGATGGGGAGGGAATACCCTCAGTGAATTTCTCTTGTATGGAATTGCAAGTGATACTTTAAACATGGGTTTCTCGATTTCACACTTTATTAGAAAGGCATTGGGCATATAACTCTTTAATATGGTTGATTATACATGTACCTATAAAATGTTATGTTTACCTTATCTTGAAATAACATTTGTTTATAATATCTTTTTGTGAGTTTTCTGGTATCGGTCTACAAGTGGATGTGAGCAATGTTATTGCATTTTCATTTAACTTTCCTGTTTATTTTATTTAGAGCAATAATGTTGCAGTAAGTGGAATGAGCTCAGTTTATTTTACTAGGTTTTGGAGGTGGACGTTTGACTTCCAACACACCTGATGTTGAATGACAAAAACCTATACAGTCTAGTCTACTCTTGAATATTCTAGAATTACAATTGTCTAACAGTTTATTCAAGACTTAGGCGACTCAAAACAAAAAGGTACATGGTGTAGTATTCATGGTGAGATTTAAAAGTTGTAGATTAACATAGCTCGATGATTTTGTTTAATAATATACGCTTAGAATCGTTCTTATCGTGTCTGTTCGTAATTTAATATATTTTATTAATGTATGAAATGAACCGTGTGTATTTTCATGGATTACATAATATATTATGTAACTTCTGTGCACCTATCTTACAAGATTTCTACACCACCCAAAGGTTGAATTGAAGAGAATGCTCTGGCCATTGGTGGACTGACTGACTGGTGGACAGCATGAAGTACAAAAGTAATTAAATAATTAAATATATTTTTACAAAAGAATATGTTTGACTTACAATGTTGCATGTTTTTATTACTTTACTACTTCAAGAACCGATAAAATAAAATACTTAAAACGTCTTATTTAAGTAGTGTTTAGGGCGAGGGCGCACATAAATATGGTTTAAATTGTGGTTAAAAATACCATAGAAATAATACTTACTACTCAAAATCTCAAAAAAAAATCATGAAGTGTTATAACCCGTCTGATGAGAGATGACTATCATCTCTTGGGTGTCGTAGGGACCGACTAAGGAAGCAAACTTCCCTGGACACAGCACTGCAAAAGGAAGAACAACTTGACACAAACCCTATACCGACACTTTTGGCCAGCGTGGTATAGTAGGCCAAAACCTCCTTTCTAAAGAGAAGGCTATGTCAAGTAGTGGACTATTAAAGGCTATTGATGATGATGATTGATGACTCAAAGGTGTACCTAAGGTTCTATCGTGGGTTGTTGCACCTCAGTCTTAAAGAATTAAATATGCTAAGATCCACTTATATCATACACCTTTAATTAAATAGGATTTTACGATTCTTACGATAAATAACATACCTACCTTTTATATCGTAAGTGATTCTCGAGACTCAGTGAATCAGACACAGGAATCCTTGTGTTAGTAATATCATAAATTTGGTTTAACCATACTAGCCTCGGGTTAATCATGTTACAGTTTGTATTTAAACAAAACTTATGTAAGTATTTTTTTAATATTTCAAGATCAGTCACGTGTATATTTAGGGATACTTGACAATGTCACCCTTGCAGAAGCAGACCGGGGTGGCGGCGAGCGCGTTGCAAAGCGCGCTCGCTTCCAGGGAGCAGAGGGAACATGGGTGGTATCCGAGGGGATTTCCGCACGGAAAAAGAAAAAAAAAAGGTATACTTGACAAATTTCGAAAACCGACGGAAGTTGTTAATCGAGAAGTGAAGCAACTACATTCGACGCGGTAAGACACTATTTTAATTCGTTCGTTGATGCTTATATTATTATTAAAAAAAAACACAAATTTCTTTTCTTTAATTATAAGCATTTTTAACGCCTCAGTATACTCCAAAGGATGATAGAAGCGTACATAATCATAATTAAAGTTTATTGAACTCTTTGGAGTTTACCTGTATATAAAGCTCATAAGCCGGTTCGTAATGGACAAGTTCAGTGTGTCGATACTAAAACAAACAAAAATATTTTATTCGCTTACTAGATGGCAGCACTTAGCAGTGTGACAATGGTGCCAACGTAATAGTGGCAAAGGGTTAAGTAAGTGTTTTTACGTATTCTCCTGCTTCGTGACAGTATAAAGCAACTAGATGGCGTTTTGTTAAGTAGACTATAGTGAAATAAAACACTGAAATAAGTAAATTGATTGTTGATTGGATTGTATGAGGAATAATGTTTTCTTTCGTGGTGAGTGAAGATGATGCGTGGATCACAGTTGGGAAGTTTAGTTTCATCATCATTCATTTATTCATCAGCAGCCGCTAATAGTCCATTGTTGGACAACACTCGCTGAGTTGCCGGTCGGTTGCCCTAGCGGTGGTGGTGGAGCTGTACTCCGTCCCGGATCACGGGTCGGATGACGCCCGCCGCCATATTCTGGGCAGAGGTGAAAAATGGCATCCACTGTACCTTGTACCCTCCTTCTGCGAGGACTGGGGTTTGTGGCAGTTGAATGGGGCCCTATGGCCATTGTTAGCCCCATGGTCATTGTGGGCTTTTTATATGAAATAGGACTAATCCCTCCCACACTCCCATCACTGCTGCTGTATATATCTCCAAATTGCGGCCTACCCGTGTTCGAGGCATACTTGGACGGACTTAGGAGCTGCATTTGCACTTACCTGTCCCGTATAGTACTTGTCTTGGGCGATTTCAACGCCTGCTCGTGACGTGGACGACGCCTTTTGTCATCGACCAAGTGTCAGGATGGAGGGTGGCCGAGTAGGTGGTCACTTTGTCGGACCATTGACGGATCGTTTTCGATGTGGTCATCCACCTCAGGCTGTCAGTCTTGACATACTCAACGCCTTTAACTCCCTACGGTGGTGGGCGATTATGGAGGCATCATTGGGGTTTATCTCCGCGACAGGTCCATATCGTGTATGGGTCGGGACGGTGAAGAATGCCGAAGGGAGGTTACATGCGGGGTTCCACAGGGGTCGGTTTTAGGACCCCTTCTGTGGAACCTCGCGTATGATGCGGTACTGAGGACCAGTCTTCCCCCAGAATTGAGAGACACTCTGATACTGGCTAGGGGGTATGGCTACCAGGAAGTTTTGGAGCTCGCCGAGTTAGGGGTGGCTTATGTCGTCCGAAAGATCAGCGGGCTGTTGCAACTGTTGCACCTGTTCCAACTGTTAACTACATCGGGCTCACCCTGGACAGCCGCTGGAGATTCGATTAGCATTTCGAGCGGATGATCCTCCGAGTTCGTGGGGTAGCTGGCTCCCTACAGAGGCTGTTGCCTAATTTAGTGGTTCTGCGGGAGGAAGTTCGCCGCCTCTACTGTGCGGTGATACGATCCATGGCCCTCTACATAGCGAAGTAAGAAGGTCTCTCTTACTGACAACCAGAGAAACTATACTATATAGACGCACTTAGGCAAGCCAATGGAGGTCAGCAATAATGAAATTATAAGAAAAAATAAATACATGTGATAATTACATTTCAAAATATATTTTCGTCGCCTGAAATCAATTCGTACATGGACTTTGATCTCAAACCGACTCAAACCGTATGTTGCGCCGTCTCGGGTAACAGTAGCCGGTTAACCAGGTGTAACCTAGAAAGGGAATGCCTGGTACCCCGAGAGACCCCAGTCCATCAACGGCTTGCAGATGGCTCCCTCGTGAATATGAAATTACCCTAAACACTTTACTTTAATAAATACTTTATTATTTTCTTTATGCACAAAAAGGGCAAGAAAAACAAGAAGCAAAAGCAAAATAATATCAAATCTTTTCATCAGAGTGGCTGTAATTTTTCTAAGTAGATGTTTCAGAGAAACAATATCCACAATATGAATAACTGGACACAGAGTGAAGCAGACCCGCAATAGGAACTGGACTGGTCACGGAAATAAAGAAAAATCATAAAAATCGAGAAAGTAAAGTCTTAGAGTATTCATCATTACATTGTAAAATAAGGAATCTCCAACTGTTTGTGATTACTCTCCAATGCAGGTACAATTTTCTAGATGAAAGTACCCTGTCATCAGCAGTCAACATCAATAATTTCAGTGGTTAATAACAGAATTCATTTTGGTTTCACTTATTCTAAGTCCAATCTATTGGACTCACTCACTTGCTATTTGACTCAAAATTAATCACATGACCAAACAAAATGGGTTTATCATAAGTCACTAAAGAGTTGTACTATCCATGTCTTTGCGCTTTCATTAGATTAGCAAGCACCTTTTTGCTGACCTTGAGTTTCAGGTTTCCAAAATTCACTGTGAGCTTCTCCATAATTGTTTGCAATTCATGACAATATACATCTGCCGTCAGGGTTACGCCATTCGGTAAGAAGCTGAGGTGTACAAGTCCGGCTCTGGTCCACCAGATAGTCACCATCATCTTCCTATCTTCGCTGATGGCCGGTCAGTTAGTGTGGCACCCACTTATCTAGCTTTTTCATCTTTCCGATTTCATGTAAGTGCTTCAATGTTTGAATCTTCTTGAATCTCTAACTTCACTGGACACTGTCACCAAAATTAAATCACCAAATAATATCAAAACAGGAACTTAAATATTAATTAAAATTACTTACTATAGGTACAGATATAATGAATATATTGCAGATTAGTGACAAATCTAAACTTTGGTGATAGAAATTAAAATCGCCAAAAAACATAGTATTATTATCCATTGCTCCTACCATTAGATAGCTAATTGTAGAAGCAATGGATGCACTTCTGTGATGGAAGAAATGTATTTTTATTTAACCTGGTT